CAACCGGCTTCCTCTGAGCCCAGGTCCTTACACTGCTTGCATTTAATTCAATACATTTAACAATGTATTAAAATGCTCAGAGCTGCATTCGTTTGTGTCTTTTATCTATAGCTGACATTTAGCTTTAGAAAGAATCAGCCACAAAGCGAAATACCTGCCTCAGAAGCTTCGATGGAAGCAGTGCTTCCCCGGCTCACCTGCTTACTCTCTGCCTATGAGCTCGGGGACAGCAGCTTCCATCAGATTCTTCTAACAAAGGCCCTCCCCCTAGTGACGGGAATACCATTTTATAATTCCGGTAGAAGTCAGCCTTGCGGCAGCTCTCTCCTCCTCTGTAGCCGTCTCATCTGAGACCCCCCCCCCCCTTCCATGACAAATCCCGGTATTCCCGATAGCCCGATCTCTGGTACGGTGGCCCGCAGGCCGGGTTTCAATAACAGGGCTGCTGGGGAATAGTCTGCAGCCGACAGACAAGGCGTTTAATACGAAGATATCAATCGTCGTGGCGGCGGCGGCACGGAGCCCTCGGTAAGCGGGCTTGTCATTCCGCCAGCCCCGGGGTAGCGGAGTCTCGGAGAGCCGCTCGTAATGGAGGCTGTCAGAGACGATTTGGAGTTGCGCCGCAAAGAATTGTGGCGACAATTCACATATTGTGAGCAGAAACAGAGTCTAAAGGCGACGTCCCCGCGGTCTGCCTGGGCTCAGAAAGACGGTTTGTGGTTGTCGGCGGGCGATGACTTGCTGGATTCTATGCAATCAGATGGCACATATTTGGTTTTTATTATACGCCCCCCCACCCCCTGAGATACAACCTCAGCAACCCCCCCAATTCTAGCCATAGTCAGACTACAAATCCCATAATGCCTCTGCCTCTGGGAGTCACGCAAGTGGCTGTCAGAGTGTTGCAATGCCTCATGGGACTTATAGTTCCCCAACATTTGGAGTGCTGAGGTTGCCTACCCCTGCTGTAGACTAAGGATCCCCGCCAGCCTGGGAATGGACAGTGAATGATTATGTTCCCTGTGTTAGACTGACTGCACTGCGCAAAAGCAACAGAGCTCTGATTGGGTCAGAATGCTGGCCCCTCCCTTTCCCAGTCTGCTGTGCTATGGATTATAGGTGGTCATTATAAGCCAGATTTGGGTACATGATGGCGCTTGGCCAAACATGACATACAGTTTAAAATTTGCAAATTTTTACATAAAACTTTCCTCTTCTTATTTCATATCTTCATATCTTTTGGGCCCCTGTGATATCATCACTGGGTCCCTGTGCTTCTCTACACTTCTCTATGTAATGCAGGTAGATCATAGCTGGTGGGAGGGGCCAGCAGGGTGCTATACCTGACTTCCTGAAGACATCACAACACCCGCCCTCAGCCCTGATGCAAGCAGTGGGAGGAGCTATGCAAATATTAAAATGCCTTGATGGGTGGGTGTCAGTCTGGAGGAGTGGGTGTTCCTGTGCAGACTGTATTTGCATAGATAACACCCACATGAATGAAAGGGGCGGGGCCAGGGACAGTCAGGCTGGGGAGGAAAGTGCTTGATGATGCTGGACATCCTCCAGCCAGGAAGTTAGGCTCTATCTGACTTGCTGCAGCTTCTAATGCACATTGTGAGAAGCTCGCAGTGTGCAGTGAAATCAGAGGGAGGGGAGAGGAGCCGGTACAACCGTGCAAGACTGAAGGGAAGGCCAGAGTTCACCTTTAAAAATCGGCAT